AGCACTTTTTATGACAGCAGGATGTGGAAGCCACCCAAATATCTATTAAATAAGGCACTCAACCCACACAATGGATTATTACCCAGCCATGAAAAGAAATGAGGTCCTTCAACATGAAGGACCTAAAGCCCAGAAAGCCTTCTGCTAAGTAATAGAAGCCCATCACCAAAGATCACACATTGCTCGATTTCATTTGAATGCAATCTCCTGAATGGATAAATCAATAGAGGCGGAAAACAGGCCAGCAGTTGCCAGGAGCTAGAGGGGGAAGGGATGGAGGGTGACTGCCAACAGGTGTGGGCCTACTTACGGGAGCAACGGGAGTCTTCTGGAATTAATGATGGTGATGGCGGTACAATGTCAATCCACGAAACTAAACTGCAAAATGGTGTATTCTGTGGTCACTGAGTTAAATGTAATTTTTAAATGTCCAAGGAGGAGGAGTACCTACAAAGCAGGGACAGGGGAGGGTTAAACCGCAGGAAGACGCATGGGCAAGGCTGGGAGCTGTACCTGGCACAGGGTACACAATCAGACATAGCAGCCATGCTAGGACAGATCACGCTCACACTGGCTTTCTGCTGGAACACAAGGGGGATGATAGTGGAGGAAGGGGCAGCTGCTATTCCATTCTTAAGCAGCAGCCCAGCTGAGCCACGGTGGCACTGCAGATCGCAGGGCCTGCCACCTCCCTTCTGTCTCGCCAAGAGCTGTCTCCATAGCAACAGCAGCAGCTCAGGGCAGGGGCTCCCATTCCCTGTCGGGTGACAACATCGCCTCAGCAACCTGTCAGGATGGCAAGGGCAGGTCCCGAGGATGGGACTGTAGCTCTGGCAGAAGAATTGCTGAGGGACCCTCGTCTCCATAGTAACCATGTCAGGAAGTAGAGGGAGGAGGAGAGGGCAAACAGCAAATAAACAGGATCTGGAGCCAGCAACACACATCAGGAGGAGAGACCAGATGTCAGGCATCTATCTCTTTCCCAGGAAAGAGAACCGGTTTTTTTCAGCGCCTACTCTGTATCAGGGTCAATTCTGGGCTCTTTACATTAAAAACCTAAATTTTACATTTAAAATTCCACAAGTAGGGCTGTGGGGCACCTGCTGCAGCCTTGATGCCCTGAGTTTGTCCTGAGAGTGTCCTGAGACTCCCATGTCCTGGGATTCATGGGGTAAAGAAAAGAACCAACGTGTCCTCCACATGCCTGCTGTGGAGGACAGACACAGATACACAGGGGAACACACACACACACACACACACACTAAAGTTGTGAGGTTTATTTTTTTGTTTGTGTTTCTTGTTTTTTTTTTTGGGGGGGGGCAGGGTTTCTCTGTGTAGCCCTAGCTGTCCCGGAACTCTCTCTGTGGACCATGCTGACATCAAACTCACAGATCAGCTTGCCTCTGCCCCGAGAGCTGGGATTAAAGGCTTGTACCATCACTACTCAGCTGAAATAAAGTTTTGAAATGTACTTAAAAAAAAAACTAATCTCACAAGTAATACCAAGTACGCTTTGATTTGTTCTTAAAGACAGGGTCTTCTTATGTTATCTAGGCTAGCCTTAGACTCCTAGACCTAAGCCATCGCCCCCTCAGGCATCCCTGGAATAGGGCTATAGAAGAACCCATCATGTCTAGCTGAAGCACGAGGCACTGTCTCATGTATCCCATCACCATGTAGCCAAGGATGACCCTGAGCTTCTAATCCTGTCTCCGTCCCCTGAGTGCTGGAGTTACAGATGTGTGTGACCACGCTCATTTTATTTGGAACTGTACATTGAATCCAGGATGGCATTTATCCTAGGATAGAGCACTTTACCAACAGAGCTATATTCCCAGTCCATTTTTATCTTATTCTTTTGTTTGTGAGACAGTCTTACATCGTAGCCCAGGCTGGCCTCAAATTCTTGGCTCTGCCTCCCAACTCCTGGGACTATACATCAGATTATTCAACCCCTGAAGAGATGGCCTATTCAGGGCTATCTATTCAGGGCCTGAAGAGATGGCTCAGCAGTTATGAACACTTGATACTCTCACAGAAGACTAGCTCAATTCCCAGCTCCCACACTGAGCTGCACACAACCGCCTAGTTCCAGGGACTCCAATGCCATCTTTTGGCCTCTGAAGGTACCTGGACACACGTGTGCACAGACATACAGGCAGGCACACACACTGACACACACAAAGTCTAACTCTGGGCTGGTGGTATATCTCAAGAGTCCACCCTACCCTGGTATGTATGAGATCTCAAAATAGCTTGTGGGATTTTTCAATATATGCGGTTCTGTAACTCTCTTTTTTGGTTGCAGTGGGTCTCAGATCCTGGGTTTCATGAATGTTCAGCAAGTGTTCTGCTACTGGGCAATGTTCCCAGCCTTTTATTGGCTTCTTATTTCAAGACAAGGTCTCACGGTAGCACCTAGGCTGGTCTTAAACTTTCCCTGCAGTGTAGGCAGGCCTAGAAGATGCCACTCTCCCCTTCAACCTGCCACATAGCTGGAATAATGGGTCTGGACTCCAGGCCTAGCTTCCTAATTTCCTTTCTTAGTTTACAACATACCTTGGGGACTTTCTCATATAAATACATACTTTTCTACTTTTGAAACATGTGGTAAAGGTTATATCATATAAATTTATTATCTTAAACATTTTTTATTATGGTAAAATATATTTAACATAAAGTTACCATTTTTGTCTTTTAGTCTTTTATTTTTGTTTTTCTGGTGTCAGAGTTTGAACCCAGGCACCCTTTTTGAGACAGGGTCTCATGTAGCCCAGGGTAGCTCACTCACTGTGGAGCTGAAAACGACCTGAACTCTCGCTCTTCCTGCTTTTGCCTCCCAGGCGCTGGGATAGCAGGTAGTGACACCACCTCCTATGTAAATCTACTCCTGTGTGTGACCACAAGCACAGTCTGTCTCCACCCCCTTCCATGGTTCCAAACTGAACCTCTGCCCCCCACTAAGCAGTAAGCCCGATTCCCTCCTCTCCTGCCCAGCACCTCTACTCCCTGGCTAGTAACCTGATTACTCTAGGATTCTCAGATAAATGGACTTTATAACATTTACCTTTCATGTCCGGCTTCTTTCACATGGCATGGTGTTTTCAAGGCCCAACCATGCTGCAGTGCGTATCAGCACTTCAGTCCTCCAGGGTCAACAACTGTCCCCTTATGCATGTATACCCATCACTCAACACTTGAGCTGCCTCTGTCTCTGGGCTACTGTGAACAATGCTGCTATGAGCACGGAGGGACAAACATCTCTGTCCCTGCTCTCTGGGATTATCCTGAGAACTGGAACTGCTGGGTGATGCAGTAACTCTGTCCTTAAGGTTCTGCAGAATGGTTACATGATCTTAATCTTTCCAATGTCTTCACAGTATTCCATGGTCACTCAAAAGGTGTTTGTTTGTCTGTTTGTTTCCTCTTCTTTCCGGTTCTAGGGATTGGTCCCTGTGTCTCCGTGTGCCAGGCACCTACTCTACCACTGGGCTGCGTTCCTGACTCTCTGGTTACACAAACTTCTCAGTGATCCCAAACAGCCTTGTAAACTGGTACTATTTGCATTCTGACATCATAGAGCAGCGTTTCTCAACATGCGGGTCACAACCCCTTTGGGTTTGAATGACCCTCTCACAGACCATCAGAAAACACAGATATTTACATTATGACTCATAACAGTAACAAAATTGCAGATATGAAGTAGCAATGAAAATAATTTATGGTTGGGGTCACTACACGAGGAACTGTATCAAAGGGTCGCAGCATAGGGAAGGCTGACACCTGGAGAGGGGAACTGCCTTCAGTAGCATCTCTGTGGAGGGAAGTCTGGGGCAATCTAAACAAGCTGCAGCAGAGGGACTCAGTTTCCCTATCTGTGCGGGAGGAATAGGCTGTGCTCTGAGGGTACTCTGTAACATCCCTAATTTTCACTATCAGAGATGGGAGCAACGAGATTGTGTGCAGAAGGCACCCGGTGCTGTAGGCAGCCCACCGTGGGCAGTTAACTACACGAAGGAAGGAAACCTCACACTCAACCCCGCAGCACATTGCATGCCACGGCAGCCCTTAGGGCAGGTCCTTCCCTCTCCACTTGTGGGGCACTAGCACCTGGCACCAACTTGCCCACTGTGAAGGACGGCCAAAGGACTACTCTGCCCTCGGGACTGTGATGTCTGATGTCTTGGCTCTGGACTACTGGCATGCTGGCCCTCTTAGGAAGCAGGTGGGTGCCCCGGAAATGTACAGCCTGGGATGCCTAACGAGCAGCCAACCAGCTGAGGGCCAGCTGTGCCTCTGAGGCCAGAGGCCGCCTAGCGTTTGGACCACACACCTCCTTCCCCACCCTGCTGCCAGAATCAGGAGGTAGCTAGGCTAAAACACCACCTGGGCGGGCGGTTTTCCACTGGCATTCTGCAAAGCTCTCAGCAGCCTACATGACCTTGAGAACCCCCCCTCCCAGAAGGAAGCTATTTGCTCAGCCGTGAAATGCAACGCAGCTTTGCTTCGCAAAGATTTCCGAGATATTGCGAGCTTAACTCGCAGCTAGAGGAGGGTACAGCAGAAGGAAAGGCTGACGTCACGGGGGGCACGGGGTCTGGAAGTCACATTCAGAGACAAGTGGGAGACCCAGGCTAAGCATCCTTCTCAAACTAAGTGGTAACAGCACATGAGTCCCTAAAGCATGTCCATGCAAGCTAGTCAGTGACCAGGGACAACTGCCCAACCTTCTAGATGAGGAAACTGAGGTAAAGAAGGCCAGACCCATGCTGGGCATTGATGAGTACACCCTCAATTAATCCTAGAAAGAGTAATTAATCTCAGTAAGTGTATCTCCCTCACCACTTTATTGTGAAATCCAGTGTGGAATATAGACGAGGTGCTCAGAAAATACACGGATAACCAACACTGCCAGGGAGGTCCAGGGGACGCATCTCAGTCCACAAGCAACCAGGAGGGGATGCTCAGCCCACCTGGGCCAGCTGGGCTGCAGTCCTCACCTCTCTGGGACGATCCAGCTCCGTTTGCAGCACCTGCTTGGCCAGCTCCGTCTCGATGAGCCTCTGCCGAAGCCCCTCGTTCTCCTCCTCCAGCCTCATCCGCTTCTTCTCCACCACCTCCAGCTCCTTATGAAGCCGCATGGAGATGTCCTTAGAGACCTGAGCCAGGGTGGGAGAGAAAGGGGGCATGTTCAGGCTGGGGGAGGACACACCTCAAGTCCCAAAGACCATCCACCTCATCACCCTCATTCAGCAGAGAAGGAAACCGAGGCCAAGAGCCATGAGTATAGGGATTAACAGACCCCAAACCCAAACCCAGGCACCTCAGCTCCCAGTATGTTGCCCCCAAAAGCTGGGATGATCTTGGTCTGTTCTTACAGGTGTCTTTATATTCAACCGGGGGAGCTTGTGGGGGGAGAGAGTTGCTTTGGAAGCCCAGCACAAAATGAGCGCCTTGTAATCCTTAGCAAGTCATTTCCTGGCCCCGTGCCTCAGCGTTCTCAGGGTGTATAAAATGGGTACAGCAGTAACGGGGCAGTCTCAGGGCTGTCATGAGGGTCAGCGTTCTCAGGGTGTATAAATCTGGTACAGCAGTAATGGGGCAGTCTCAGGGCCGACATGAGGGTCACATCAGCTACTGCTCACATAGCCTTCACCCAGCGCCTGCCACAGTGAGTGTCTGCTGACCAGTGGCTGCTGCTCCCAGGAATTCATGTCCAGAGACAGACATGACTCGCTGGAGGTCACAGTGACCCTGAGGCCTGTTCTGGGATATAGAACATGCTAGAATGACAAAGGCTGGGCAAGTGTCCAAGTCATCCCTTGGATGCAGCTAGCAGAGTGGCAGTCTCTAATTCCGGGCCTAGGCCCAACAGGAAAATCACCCCTGACTCTGGAGGATCCCCTTGGCCCCTGCTGCTGGGTGTAGTAGGGTAGGGAGGTTGAGGTGGGGTGAAGGGAGCCCTCTTGAGCAGGTAAAATATAAATAGATGCTATCCCCAGCTAGGCTGGGCCCTGCTGACACCTAGATACTAGTTCTGCCCTCAGAAGTGACTTTTCCAGGGTCACACACAGCGAGCATGGCTGAGCTGGATTGGTATTCCTTGTGGTTTGGAAGGGCTAGCACAGCCAGGGTCCCCTGTGAGTCTGAAGGCTTTGCCAACAAAGCCTGTGCAGCATAGACAGCCGGGCACCCAGGCCTGCCAATGTCGGAAATGACCATGAGCCTCCTCCCTCTGGAAGAGAAGAGGCCCTCCCTGGCTCTGCCCACTGCCTGGGCTCAAGCCCAACTCAGCCCAGACCCCGTTGGCAGTGTGCAGGGAAGGCCAGGAAAAACAACAGTAAGAGGAAACTGGGCATGGTTCTCCTCCCTCCTCTGCCCACTGCCCCCTCCAGCCTGAAGATCTCTGAGGACGCCAGACGGAGGCACACAAGCCTCCCCTGTAGCCACGCTGGGCCACAAAGCTTTCCTCACCCATAACGTAGGATAGGCAATCCTTTAATATCAGAAAAAGATTTTTCAGAGAAGAAAACTAGATTGAAGCGCAGTGCCAGCATTCATGGCCATGTGGTTAGCAGTAATGGGTGGACACACTGTTCATGAGGGTTGCTGGAGCGGGTAAACGCACTGGGGGTGCCTGGGTGGTGGCTGGAGTCCAGAGGGTGATAAAAAAAATACAAGGCTTCTTATTTACTATTATTTTTAAATAATTCATTCTATTTAATGTATTACAAAGTTGCATTTATTTCATAATTTCATGACCTATTTTTGATTGTGTAAAATAAATACTTAACCACCAGAGCTGCTCAAAGGCCACAAGTTCAAGGAACCATCTATACAAGGATTTTCACTTTAGGCTGTGCTGGGAATGAATCTTGGACTTCTGTGCACACTAGGTGAGCATTTTCACACTCAGCCACATCTCCAGCCAGACAAGGAAGTTTTTCCTCCCAGTCTAGCCTTGAGCTTGCTACTAGCCAGGGACGGCCTTGAACTTCCGATCTTCCAACCTCTGCCTCCCAAGTGCTAGGCTAAGAGGAGTCGTCCACCTTGCTAAGTCTTTGCATTGCTGAAGGCCAATGCCAGGGCTTCGTGCCTGCCAGGCGAGCCCTCTGTCTGCTGAGCTACACCTCCAGCCCAGCCACAAAAGCATTTTTAATGTTTTACCGATTACTGCTTCACCTCTTTGCATTGATTTTATCCACCCTGGCCCAGGCTTACAGCTATAGTCCCCAATGTGGGGCTATTAGGTCACTCAGGAAGCGCTCTCCTCACCAACATTTCATTTCATTCATTCATTCATTGCCTTGGCACTGGGGTGGAAGTGGTGGACCACGGAGATCAAGGCCATGCCTATCCGGATTCATTCACCTGTGTCCCAGTAACAGCTCAGAGCCCGGTATTCAGTAAATGCCTGATAAGTGCTTGTTGGAGGAACAAACAAATCAGGGTCCAGCGCATGGTGAAGGAGTGGCTGGCTGAATATATGTGGGGAGCTGCCCCTGACCCTGCCCTGCTGTCCAAAGAGAGCTACAAGGGCCAAGGGTCCTCTCCCAAACATGGTTCCATGGGGGGTAGAAGGTGTCCACCTGAGAAGCCCACTAGATCCTCTTCCTTCTCCATGGATTCCCTGTCCCCATGTTCACCCCACCCCAGGGCCACAAGTTAAGTAAGTGCAAGCGTGCGCATGCATGTACATGCAAGTGCAGACACACACACACACACATACACACACACACACACACACACACACACACACACACGGAAGCTGCAGAATTCTAGACAGAAAAGCCCACAAACTCAGATCCCTGCAGTGCCTTGCAATCTCTGGGTACCACAGCCACCAGACTGGGCAGCAGGAACTGGGGCCTGGCCCTGCCTTCGCCTCCCAGATTTTCAGCCTCCCAGGGCCCTAGGCTCTCACAGGGCATTTATAGAAGCAATTAGCTCCTCCTCAGGCTTTTACCATAAGCTTTTCTCACCCTCAGGACACATTCTATTCCCACTTTGTTGTTCAGAAAGGAAAGGTCAGTTGCCCAAGGTCACATGACTGAGAAGGTACCAGGCAGAGTCCACTGTAAAGCTGATACTGTGGGGGTAAACTTGAAGGCATACAACTATGAACAAGAGTAAGTCTCAACACGGCTTACTACGTCAGAAGGGCCTAAAGAGCCCCATGTGCCTGTCTCATTGAGCCCCACAATTACACCCAAAGGAGGGGGCCGAGAGACCAAGAGCGGAGAGGCAGCTGCAGCATTCGGACTCACAGCAAATGCCTAAAGCACAAACAAATGTGCTCAGCCATGAGGTCACTGTTTACAGCGCCGGCCTTGGTCCCTACCAAAGGCCATCAGCAGCTCAGCAGCGGAAGGCTCCCAGCTCCTGGACACATCAGCTCTGGGCTCTGAACCTTGGATTGCAGTAATCTTCAGGGAGAAAAATGGAAACTGTAAGCAGCATCTCAGGCCTAATTCCCTCAAAAACCGCATGATGGGAATGTCACCCCATTTTACAGAGGGAGACTGAGGCTCCAAGGAGAAAACAATGCAGGTCACCCAGGACACAGAGCCAAGGCCAAAGCATCCTTATCTATGGATGGGCTACACACATGCTACCGATGTGTTCTGGGACCTTCTACAAGTAAGCAGTGGGATCCTAGCACCCCCCAAGCTCAGTGGTCTGGGACCACACGCATAACACAGTACCCTCTTTAGTAATTTCATTTTATCTTCACAGAAATCTCTATAGTGAACTAAACTTATCTCCACATTCCACAGGGAAAACAGGATCAGAGCTGTGAAGCAGCTTACCCAAGGCCACACAGCCACAAAGTGGCTATCCATTGGCCCTCCGGTCCTCTACCATCCTGCTGAGGTCGGAGGAGATCTTAACTGTGTGGACCAGCAAAAAGTCAAAGAGCCTGGGGGGTTGCTATGGGGTGGCCGTGGGAGATCTTCCTAATAACGCATGTGCCCAATAAAACCACTGGTGCTCAAAAGGCCTGCAGGGCACAGGGCCAAGGAGCCTGCCCAGCAAGGGAGGAATCCCTAGGCGTACAGTCCTCTAACCCCTCTCCACCTGGTTCCCTTAGCCTGCCTGGGGGAAATCAGCATTCTCAGGACCTACGTAATTGCCTCTAACATTCCTAGCACGCTGGGGCGAAGGGTGGCGGCAAGGCTGTGGCCAGCTCAGGCAGAGCCAGAGCGTGAGCTCAACGCTGCAGCTGCGAGAGGAGGGGGGGGTGCAGGGGAGGCACGGAGATGCTGATTGGCTGATTCAAATCCCAACAGAAGGGGCCCTTCCCCTCCTCCTGGAGGGCTGAGCCCCACCCCGACCCCAGCTGCTCTGGCCCCGCCCACCAGCCTGCCCCCCCCCACACACACACACACTCTCTCCCTCCTCTCCCAGTAGGCTTGTCTAGGGTCCTCCCAGAAATCCTCAAGGACCAGTGAGCCCATAGGCGGATTTCCACGAACTTCTCCACTCTCCTTCCCTCCCTGCTCTGTCTCCTACCAATGAGGGAACTGGAGGGTGTTTTTGTTTTGTTTAAAAACAAACAAACAGGATCTGGCTGTGCAGTCAAGAAAACAGGCTCCTCGCTGGTACACAGGCTTGCTGGGAGCCACAGCCTTCCTAAATCAACACTGGTTCTGGAATGAACAGCAATCTTTATGAGTGACTTCCAGGGCTGGATTCTCAGTGCCTTCCAGCAGCAGGCCTGTGTGGATGGCTCTGCACCTGTCTGACCTGGGGCCCTTGGGAGTCTTCCCTAGAACATCCCAGGCCCTCTCCTCTTTTGGGCCTCAATGCAGAGGTCACCCACAGGGCTCCTGGGCTCCTCCCTGTTCTGTACCAGCCCCAGCTCCCGTGGCCCCCTGCTCACACTGGGCTGAGTTGGAAGAGCAGAGGCTGGCTCAGGCGGAGATGTCTCTCCTGTCTGAGTGGAGCCAACCCTGCTTCCTCCTGAGGCAGAGGAGCAGCAGGGTCCAGCAGTAAGGTCTGGGAGGTTAGCTGGGTCTGACTTCCGCCACCCACACAGGAGAGCCCCTGACCCTGGATAGGTACATTCTCCCTCTGAGCCCCAGAACCCTCACCCAGAAATCAGATGCATTAATACTGGCTGATCACAGTCAGTGTCTCTGGTGTCTTAACCACAGTTTCAATATCCTAGGTTCAATGTTCTTACATCCATTTTGCAGATAAGGAAACTGAAACATCACTTGTTCAAAATCACAAAACGCAGGCGTACAGGAGCCCAGCCCTGATCAACAGCATCCAACCACAGCCCTTTGATCTCTCTCAGTAGCCTAAGGAGCTTGTGGAAGGGAGCAGCGACTGTGTAGGAGCCACTCAGAGGCCAAAGCCAGGTACAGGCAAGAGCCTTCTACTTCCTGCTGGGGGGTGGGGGGGATAGGAGGCAGGGGGAGTTTTGGTCATATCATCTTGGGACATCCCATTTGGAGGACCTGTTGATCCACCAGGGTCCCAACTTTGCAGATGGGAAAACTGACGGCAGAGAGGCAGGATAACTTGCCCAAGGCAAGTAGTAAGCCACAGGGCTAACCTGGATCCCCAGTGGGGCCTATGACTCAACCATCCAACATGAGCACCTATAAAAGTTTGTGGAGACCCCCAGACTGACCTTGACGTCCTGCTCCAGACCACGGATGAGCTCACCATCCACCTGGCCTGTCTGGGCAGCACGGAGGCTGCGGCGCTCAGCTTTACGCAGTCGGTACTGCAGGATGCGACAGGTCTTGCTGGCTTGGTCCAGCTGCTGCCGCAGCTCCTGTAGCTGGTACACATCTTCCTCCATGTAGACATCCCGCATTTCCAGCATCTCAGCCCGCAGCTCTTCGATCTCATCCTGCAGGATGAAGGAATGGTCAGATCTCCAGATGCCATGACAACGCTGGTGATACCTGGCAAGCAGACTTGGTGGCCTGGTGTGGTAGTCACAGCTGAGCTCCCAGGATTGGAAATACATGCCTTCTGTGGCAAAAGGGGCGCTGCAGATGTGACTAAGATAAGAGTCTCCAGACAGAAGCATTATCCTGGACTCTCCGGGCCCCGAGAGAGAGGCTGCTGGGAGTGTGAGGAGGAAGTAGGTGGAAGGCAGACAGGCTCTGCAGGTGGAGAAAGGGCCACTAGCCAAGAAATGCAGGCAGCTCCCGCAAGGATGAACCGAAGGGATTCTGCCCTGCAGCACTCAGCCGACCTGAAGCCCTGGAAGATAATCTACAGCTATACCACTCCTGAGATTTGGATCTTAACCATCCCTGCAAAGTCACCTGCTATCAGCTGTCTTCCTTGGCACACACATTTAATCCCAACATTTGAGAGGAGGCAGAGGTAGAGGCACAGAGGCAGTATCTCTGTTCCTTCCAGGCCAGCCAAGGCTACACAGTGAGACTCTGTAGCAAAACAAAACATTGTTTACTTTTGTTTAAAAGATAGGGCAAAGAGTCAATGGGGGATATGGAGTTGGGAAGACCATGTGTTCAAAGCCAGTCTCAGTATATGAGACTGCCTAAAACAAAACAGCAAAAAACAAGCAAACAGGGCTGGGGGAAAAGAGGGGTCAGTCACACAGGGCCTGGAAGGCCTGGCTTGAGTTTTCGGTGGGAGGTACTAGAGGTGACCTCACTCAGGAAGGCCAGCTACTGTCCCTCCGTCACCAGTTCCCTCAGCTCGTCCGAAATTCTGTGTGACTGTTGGTCTCCCAGTGAGCACAGTCGTCCCACCTATCTGGTCCCCACCTCTAGCACCAGCTTGGCCTTCTGCAGACTTTCAACAAGTATTAACTGAACGAACAAAAGCATGCCTAGCTAATGAAGAAAGACAAGAGGGAGGGACTTCCTGTTGTGAAAGACAGCAAATGACCACCAGACACTACATAGAGGGGCAAGCAGACACCTCCCAGAAGAAACACATAATTATGCCTCATAACAAATGTGGAAACTGAGTCACAAGCATGAAAAATATCTGTTAAACTAGATTGCACACTGATAAGGGAAACTGAGTCACGAGGGATGCGTCCTTGACAAAGGCACTCCCCAGGGTAAGCACTCGCGGTGGGTACTGAGGGAAGCAGGGAGGGAACCAGAAACAGAAAGGCCACTCTGGAGAGGGTACTAGATCGTCCCTAAAGAAGATGGGAATAGGGGCTGGAGAGATGGCTCAGTGGTTAAGAGCACTGACTGTTCTTCCAGAGGTCCTGAGTTCAATTCCCAGCAACCACATGGTGGCTCACAGCCATCTATAATGAGACCTGGTACCCCCTTCTGGAAATGTGGGCACACATGGAAGGAATGTTGTACACATAATAAATAAATAAATCTTTAAAAAAAAAAGAAGATGGGAATAAAGTGGAGTCCCCTCCCCACACCCTTTGCTCACCCCAAGGGTCTCCATAGTTTTGGAAAAGGAATCATCGGGGCCTCTCCTCACACCTGCCTGCCAGCAGGACAAGCACGGCGCTGGGTTGGACTGCAATAGGTCCAGACCGTGGCCTGGCTGCTGTGGTTCCCTGTGGGATGTGGTGTAGCAGGACAAGCACGGCCGTGGGTCTGGACTTCAATAGGTCCAGACCGTGGCTCTCTGTGGGGAAATGGGTGTGGCCTGCTAGATTGATGACAGGTAAGAAGTTATGCTATCCAGGTCACACCACACCCCAGCCTTCCCCACACCCTTCTGCCTGGCTTCTGGAACCATTTCTCAGAACCTGGGAAAGGAAAACAGAAGTGACAAACTGGCGGCTCCAGCCCCCACATGCCGTCTCCCTCCACTGACAGCTAATCCGTGAATCACTAGCTGCCACGCCAGTAGTGTCTGTCCTAGGGGTGTGTCCATCAGCACTCCAAAGTGGTGAGCCTGCCGTTGGCCGCAGTGGACACCCCACCCCCAAGTACAGAGTCACCACCCCACACCACACCAAATGGGCAGACTAGAAGTGGAAGGGAGGAAGTGAGGCATTCGGCTGGCAGAGAAGGCAACAGGAAGTAAGGGGCAGGAGATGCAGGCAGACAGTACATCCCTATAGCTCAGGCTGCAGGGGCCCGTGTTCAAGTTCAGCCTTGCCATCCGTGAGCAGCTCACATACTCCCCTTGCTGTTCTGACAGAACACGGTGACTGGGAGGATGTGGAGGTCTGAGTGACTCTCTAGGTCAGACAGACTCAAGGGATGACACGGGGCGTGCTCAAAGTCATGCTGCGGGGACACATTAACACACAGATGTGTGACACTGAGCCCACAGTAGGTGACTTCCTTCCACATTTAGCTTTCTACTAACAAACTGACTTCTGTGAAAGTCGTACACGGTCAAACAGAAAGCTTTGAAAAATACAGGAAACATCAGTCATAATTTCTCGACCTGGTACTGAAGCACAGTGGCCCCAGGGATGGTGGGGTGGCTCGCTGGTAGTGTTTGCCTAACATGCTCAGGCACGTGGTTCTGCTCCCTGAGAAAGTGGGTACCTGATACAAAACCCCATATTCCCATCCACAGCTACTGAGTCAGAGACATAAGGGGTGATTCTGAGGCAAGGGCTTTCCCTCCCCACAGAAAACAAGAGTCTTGTCTCACGGCACAAGTCCCTGGCCCCAGGCCTGACACGGGTGTCTAGTGAAGGAGAACGCGAATGACTGTCCCCCAACAGCTGTCTCTCGGGGGACTCGCCTTCACCACAGTACAGGCTGTTGTGGACTTGCCAGCCCTGTGTCTGAGGGGCTTTAAGAGGCCGAGGCCTCTGGAGGCTTGCTCCAGCTGCAGGCAAAACACCCACCAGCCCCTCCTGACACAGCTCCATGTGAGGCTTGAGTTGACAAAGGCGGGCTTGTGGCCCACACGGGCTTCTCTTGGGATGTGGGGAACAGAGACTGGACACTGCAGAGCTTAGGCGGAGACTCAGGGTGCCCAGGACTGACGTGGGGGCAGGGAAAGGGGTTGCTGGGGAAGGGCTCCAGGAACGCAAGACCCTGCTTAGTCCCAGAAGCCGGGTGTTCATACCCAACCCAGGGCACCTACATCCTGCGGCCCTGTGAGGCTCTGCAGTGGCAGGTCCAGCTGGAGAGAGCAGAGACACAGGCCTCCTGGCTTCTTCACAGACAATCCAGAGGTCACAGGGGAGCGGGGCATCGCTTGAACTCTTCTATAGGACACTATCAGGAAGGAGGGCTCAAACTCACACAACAAGGTTTTGAGGTTTCCCCTTCCCAACATGGGGCACCCCCAATCTCATCCTCTACTTCAGATGGAAATCGCTACACGGTGCAGTGCCCTCTTCGGAGGCTGGGGAACCCTGATCCTCAACCCCACAATCCAAGGGCCACCCTGAAATAAACTGAATCAAGACCCCTAGACTGCATCACCCCTAAGAAGCTAAAGAAAGGAGTCGAGCAGTCCCCCCCCCAGCTCTGCTTTCATGTTGCTCCCCTCTTTCCCTTGAAGCCTGACCCAAACATCTAAGCCCAGGCTGCACACAGGGAGTAGAAGGGGAGCCCAGGGTCTAGGGACAACAGCCCGGCATGATAGTCCCTTCTCAAAATTCCTTTGCCTTTGACTGAAAGGCAATGCCTGCTGATTAGAGGAAGTCTGGTAAAAGCAGGTGGCTTTTGGTTCATTCCACTGACTTCTGCTTCAGGTCCAAGCCACTGACCCTTGACTCCTTGCCATGCCCCAGTCTGACCCCTACTCTATCTTGCACCTGTACCCAGATATGCTAGGACTAAAAGCCTGGCATGGCCTTCAGGGAAGCTCGCGAACACAGGCCCAACATCCAGGCACCTCTGACTGCCGGTTCTCTTCCCAACTCTGTGAAGGAGGCATTGAAAATGTTCCCATATTGTAGAGGAGGCATCCAAGCCTCAGAAGTTCCCCAGAGCTGCTCAAGCTAGGGAGGGGTGAAGCCAGATTCCACATAAGGCAATGGCCGGAGGCCAGGGGATGCTAACTGCGTTCTTCCAGATTTACTCAGACTTTCGTCAGGCTAACTCCCAACCCTCTCATCTTTCCAGAGCATCCCCGCCTCCCCTCATCTGATTTGGAACCTACACTCTGAACTGCATGGTCCCTGAGGGTAACAACACAGGGCTGTATTTACCTTCCCCTCATCTCTTTTCCTCTAGCTGCCTGAGGAAGGGTGGGACTGGGTAAGGCCGGATCTGACCCATGCCTGGTCCCCAGCATCACTAGGATGTGGACTGTAGTAGGCACGATGGGCAGGTGTGAACGAAACAAGTTGCTGCCCTGCCGGTCTCTCTTTGGAGCCTTCTGTCCTTTTGACCCCAGATCTAGGGCTCGTGTGAAAGGGCAGATAGAGCCCAGGCAGACCCCAGTGCCACCATAGGAGGGCGGCCAGGTCTGCCTGCCCAGGGAACTGCCTGCTTCCCACACACTTCCTACATGTCAAATGCCTCTGTCCACGCAATGACCCAAGAGAGCTACCGGCAGGAAGCAGCCCCTCAGAGATGGCCGATTCCCAGGACTCCTGGGAAATTGGCCCGCAAGAGTCTCTAGGTTCAGGCTGGGCTGGCAGACCCAACATGAACTCACAATGCTACTAATAATAGGCTTGCAGAGCAACACAGAACTCCACAGTTTATACAGACATTCCTGGTGAATCATCTCATGGGTCCTCACAGAAAAGGCTGGCTAAGGCAAGCCAGGAACCCCTGTTCTGCAGAGCGAGCTGTGAACCTCACAGCGAAGGTGGGCTGTGGCGAGGCTACCCAACCAGGCAAGAGCCCTGGACAGAACACTTCCCTCAGGACCCCTCCTCTGTGTCACTATGCGGCAAAGTCACACATTTCTTTACACTGACCTCTCACAATTAGCGTCTCTTTCCACTGCGGACTCAAGAACAAA